GGAGGGTTAATATGAATGAAAAGTGCACATTTATTTCATCAGAAGATAAAGCAGGACACCGCATTCTTTTCTTCCATTTGTTAAATTTGTTCATTGGGTGGTATGCTCGTTCTTACTGTTCCTTTCACAGTACATGCAATAGTGTGACTAATGCATAAAAACGACTGCAGGACTAATCGCTCACAAAACCAGCCTGCTTTCCCATTGCAGAGAAAGGAACTCATTCCTCTACCTCAGAGGCAGGAATCATTGTTTTATGTTGGGAAGGGCTCAGCTTCTGAATTGCTTATATGAAAACGGGGGCTCGGGGGCAATACTTAGGCCTGGTCTACACTAGGACTTTAATTCGGATTTAGCTGCCTTAATCCGAATTAACCCTTCACCAGTCCACACTACAGAGCCAGTTAATTCGAATTAAAGGGCCCTTTAAATCGATTTCTGTACTCCACCTCGACGAACGGAGTAGAGCCTAAATCGATTTTGTTAATTCGAATTAGGGTTAGTGTGGACGCACACCACCGAATTACTGTGTTTAAGTTAATGGGGTAGTGTGGCCGCACACCACCGAATTAATGTGGTTAAAAACCGAATTAATGTGCTTAGTGTGGCCGCGCACAATCGAATTTATACAACCTGTTTCCCAAATTCGAATTATCTAAATTCGGATTAATCCTGTAGTGTAGACATACCCTTAGAAAACGATGTTATACGTGCAAACATAGCAACGCAAAGGCTACACGGCACCAATTTAGTACGAACCTTCATATCTTTGGAAAGCCTGGGTGAATATTATCTGACGGGGGTTCTCAAAAGCCGTTGAAAAACGTGTCGCCCTTTCTCGTTCCTTATCCTCTACTGTCCTCTGATGAACTGGTTTTTTGTTGTTGTTGTTGTTTTTGGTTTTTTTAAGCCCCGGGAGTTTTAAACGATACAACATTCTGTTGACTTTTCCTATTTACTACTGCTGATTCTGTTTAAATAGATAGCTTTTGTTCATGTCTCTCTGTCTCACAAGAGGATTACGAGTACTCTGAATATCAGGTTATTTCTCCCTGTACAGGCAGAGAGGACTACAACATGCCAGCAGAACTTCAATTGTACAAAGATATGTTTGCAAAGTAGGAGATCTAACAAATGGGAAATATGTATTTATTAATCACGATTTTCATAAGTTATTAATATTGTTTTTCACTATTCACATCTTATGGTAACCCCTAGGATAATCCTGGGTTGCATTGCTAGCTTTGGGAGGGGAATATTCTTTAGCAGTTAAAGGCCAGGTAAGGCTAACAGGAACAGTAGCCTGGGTCACGAACTTAACACACGCATTCAGCTTGTGGTGGAAAAGGTAAACACTGCTTTTGTGATAGTTAAGACTTCGGTTCCATTCCCACCTCTGCCTTGCTGGGCCTTTTGCAACCTGAAAGGTGGGAATGATACTTGTGTGTCTTCCAAGATTGGGTATGAGGAAAATAAGGGTTCTAGGGTTCACAGAAGTACAAACCTTTTAAGGGCCTTTGAGCAATGTGTGCTCTTGTGTTGGGAGATCACCATGTAGCTTGAATATGGAAGGACTCAGTCTTCAGGAAGCTGATCTTTTTGAACTCTTAGTATGTTGGCTTTGTTCGCAGCTGTGAATGCTCAGAACTTCTGCAAGTCAAGCCCCAGGTATCTCATGTAAGGCACTAATTCAAAAGAGAAACACAATATTAGTGGCCACCTGTGGAAAACGTTACATTAAGTGACTTGCCCAGACACACTTAGGCTATCTGGCAGAGACAGGGATAGACACTAATTCCCCAGTGATGCATGCAAAAACCTTAACCCTGAGATGCTCCTTTCTCTTCTTGCAAGCCACTTTTTCATTCACTATATACATTTCAACTTCTGCAAAAAAATGACACTGAGGTCCTACATGGAGCAGCCACATTCATTGCACAACCCTGACTCATTAGTTGAATTCTGTCCACTTCTTTCACTGAGTAAGGCAGAGGGCCTGTGGCAAAAAAATAGTATGCAATCAATACATAAAACGATCAGAGATTTTGTTGGTATGAGGAAAATAAGGGTTCCCAGAAGTATGAACAGCACTCAGTAGAAGTGAATTCAGAACAATTGACTCTCAATTCAGTGCACTCTCTCTTAGGCTACACTACAGGATATTTGGATGGAAGTGCCTCTGAGGTCTGGGAAATTTCACCTGACTCAGCAGCATAGCAGAAGAGGCAGGTCTTCAAACCAAAATCTGGTACATTTGAAGCTCTGGGTAAGATTTCACAAGGCTAAGGAACAGAAACATTATGAATTGGATAAAGAAGACAGATAAGGAGCTTCTGTTGTCCCTGTCTCATGAAACAGACATAATTGGACTTTCAATGAAACTGAGAGGTTAGAAATTCAAAACAGATCAAAGGATATAAAGATATATAGTCCAACTCAACATGTGGTCAGACTATGGGAAGTATTCAAATAGTATGTAAACGTGGTCAGGAATTAAGGAAGAGTTAGTGATTGAACATTTGTACCAATAAGAATTTCCAGAGATATAATATTTAGTCGGGGGTGGGTGAAAAAAAGGATATCAAAACATTGTACTTCAGGTCTTAAATTGATCTCTAATTATTAGAGATTAGAAGGAGATCTTCCTATCAGGCTGAGCATTGTGAGGACTCTTGAATAGCTACTTCCACAAATGGGTTTGTATTATTTATATTTAGTCATTTTGAATACAGTTTTAATGTTTTTATTATATTTGTATTGTTTGCCTTTACAAAGTTGATATACATATATTTTTAATGGTAAAAAGGTGAGCTGCCCCTTTAAATATAGGATGGGGGTATTTTGAGAATTTGGCCAAGAAATTTACCTCATTGTGAGCTCTCAGTAAAATGTATGTAAATATTAATAAGTTGCCACAATAACCTATAACAACAAATGTTGATGGCATAAGGTCTAAAAGGGAGACAGAAAGACTGAATTAGTTTACATTAAAAGGCCTACTGGTATATTTCAAGATCTGTTTTAAGATCTTGCTTGGTAAACAAGAGAATGTGGATCCATAAATTAATGAACGAAAATTGGTGTGTCAGATATTAGGCCTAATTGGTGGGCAAAATAATGAGGGGATTGGCTATTCTACTCATCATTCCCTTTTTTAGCTCCTGAAAGAGAGAGACTTGGATGCGTGTGGAATAGACAGAGGCTACTGAAGCAAGTTTCAACATCATGGCTGTCATCCGCACCAGCACCTGTGACTCTTGCCCTTCATCAACCTAATCCTGAGACTGTGATGTCTTTACCAGACCTGGCCAGAGAGGAACCCAGATAACATTGTCGCTTTTTATAGATGTGGCATAGACTAACAGACATATTGGAGCATAAGCTTTTGTGGGTGAATACCCACTTTGTCAGATGCATGTGGTGGTATTATATCTGCCTCTGGAAATTTCCACCACATGCGTCTGATGAAGTGGATATTCACCCACGAAAGTTATGCTCCAATACGTCTGTTAGTCTATAAGGTGCCACAGGACTCTGTCGCTTTTTACAGATACAGACTAACATGGCTACCCCTCTGATAATTGCCACATCTACCAGCTCCAGATGAATTGCATACACCACCTTCGATGAAATGGGATTGGATTTTAACAACAATAGCTCCAGCCCATGTCAACAAACTTCTTCTCTTCTCCCCAAAAGGACATTTATTACCATCTTTGATATCACCACAAGGGTTTTCCTTCTAAAACTCTCTCCAGCTAAAGGGAAAGGGAACAAAGGATATTGTTAAAATTAAAGCCTTGTTTAATACTTTACATTTCAATGTTTGAACTGTTTTTTCCTTTTCTGCATCTTTAATAAAAGTTAAAAGGATGTATATAACAGGCTTGACAACCCCCAAACCTTGTTTAATGCTGGCAGAGTGCATCTATCACACATCACAACATTCATAGTTTACACCAGTGCCATCTCACTGAAGTCAATATAATTGCCACAAAGAAAAAGTTCAGCCATTGATTAAAGTTGGGGGGAAATACATTTTATTGTCCACATTAAAATGTTCTCACAATTGTTGTCTTGAAATGCTCAATCTCCTCTATGCTTTGAGGCACATACTTGACATTAAGCAGACTGGCCACAAAAGTGTCAGGGATATCCTTTTTGTTATCCCCATGAAAATCTATCACAGTGTGGCCAAGTTATTAGCCTCTGAAAATTCTCAGTCCATACATGTTCAGCAGAGAATTTTTCGTTTGGCACCTAAATTGTCTGAAGATTGGCTTCCCTTACTATTGTCCCTCCTCAGTTGAGCAGAACTTCCCCTGCAAAAACTCCTGGCATCTATCAAGGATCACTGTGGTTTCAAGCACTGGAAATTAAAGCAGGGAGATTGTCTTTTCTATAGTTTGCATGCCCCCACATTTGGCATGTAGGCAGGATGAAGGAGCATATATTCAACTGGAATACAGAGGGGTGAAGAGCTTGGTGAGGGAGCAGGAGACAGGAGATGGTGAAGGGGGAGGACTAGGACATAGACAAGTTAGAAGGGTCTGTATAGAAGGGGTCACACTAAAGATAGAAAGGGGCAGAAGGGTCTGTAACTATAGAAAACACTCCCCTCTAGAGTCTGGAATAAAACCTAGAATTCCTGAATCTCAACATTCTTGTGTTGTAAGAAAATATCTGTAAAACCCTCCGGAACAAATGAGTTTCCTTCTTCTCCAATGGCAGGTCCACATACGGGATAGCAATCTCAACTGGTTGTTATCAGTTGGAACAACTGGCAGAGGTTTACCCTAGATCTAAATGTCCTTCCCAACTCTTAGGGAATTCCTAATGTATTCGAGTGAAGGTCATTCTGAGAAGCATCAGTAAGGATGTGATTTCTAGAGAATTGGGTAAAAGACTGAAAGCACAGCCCGGGAGAGAAACAAGGATAGAAATCAGAGGTGGCGATGGAGGAGAGTATGAACAGAACAGGTATTAATCAAGGAAAAAGGGAGAACAATGAAAAATGCTTCCTCCCCCTCCTGCCCCGTTAGTAGTGCTCTGCTTTCAGAGAATAAAAGTTTCCAAGTGCCCGACGAATCTGATTTGAAGATAAACAAAAATCCCCGTGTGAGGTATTTTGTACTTGGTAAATTGACAGTACTCCACACACAACTCACCATCTTACATGGGAAGCTATGGATTTAACAGTGACTCTCCCTACCTCCAATAAGAGAAGCGGGGACGAGTTGCCACAGGCCAATCCTTTCAAAGCGCGGGCTTTTCAAACTCACCAACGGGATTAATCCTGATCCCACCACTGCCAGCTAGGCAGAAAAGTGTGTGTGTGTGTGTAGGTCACGCAGTTTGCCCTCACACAGTCCTCACTCGTCCCTCCTACTAGACAATAAATCCTGTCTGGACCGAAGCTCGTGTGCGAGGAATGGCCACCTTCCTCCCCTCCCCCTCCTTTTACCCAATAAGCATGATTGCTAAAGCTCGTTCCCCTCCGCTTGGGGTTGTTTTCTGCTGGGTGGGTAAGGGAAGAATTTGGCTGCTAGTGATCGTGAATTTGGGCCGATGCTCTGGATCGATTTTAATACACCCAGCTCGAATATAAATGAACCAACGTCCCGCATTTTAAAGAACTGATATCATGTTATTTCTTGTCGCGGGCGAAGGAAAATGTACGAAACTGATTCTAATTTTAGGTCTCCCTCTTTTCTATTACTTTCGTTTCTGAAAGTTGGGCGCTTCATGAAAAGCAGCACGAGGTTATTTAAGTGAACCTGGTGTTTCAGCTCCTCTGGGAACAGGTGGGTGGCTCTTAAAAGAGCCGTTGGATTTCTCTGCATGACACATTTTTTTCTAACCCCTTTACTTCTTCTTGGGCGCTGCCTTCTTCGCCTTCGTTGCTTTAGGCTTCGTCGGCTTGGGCTTGGCCGCCTTGGGCTTCACCGCTTTGGCCTTAGCCGGGCTCTTGGCTGCCTTCTTAGGCTTGGCGGCTTTCACCTTTTTCGGGCTCTTGGCCGTTTTTTTAGCTGCGGCAGCTGCTGGTTTCTTGGCTTTTTTCGGGCTCTTTTTCGCGGCCGCAGCCTTTTTGGGTTTCTTGGCGGCGCTGGCGGGCTTCTTGGCAGCTGGTTTCTTAGGCTTCGCCGCTGGTTTTTTCTTCGGCGCCTTCTCCTTAATCTCACCAGGCTTCTTGTTGAGTTTAAAAGAGCCCGAGGCGCCGGTGCCTTTGGTCTGCACCAAGGTGCCCTTGCTCACCAGGCTCTTGAGCCCCAGCTTGATGCGGCTGTTGCTTTTCTCCACATCGTACCCTCCGGCGGCCAGAGCCTTCTTAACAGCTGCCAGCGAGACCCCTTTGCGCTCCTTGGAAGCGGACACCGCCTTGGTGATCAGCTCGGTCACGCTGGGACCTGGAGGCTTGCGAGCTTTAGAAGTAGCTGCCGTCTTCTTCGTTTTTTTAGCGGAGGTTTTTGCCCCAGGAGCGGAGACAGCAGGAGCTGCAACAGGCGCCGTTTCCGACATAGTGATAAGCGTTTTCCAAAAATCAGAAAAGGAAAAAAAACTAGAGCTAAAGAAGGGCAGACGGCTGGTATTTATAGAGAGGAGCCGCTCTGTGATTGGCGCACTAAAGAGCCCGCCCAGCTGAAAGCAAAAAGGTCTCTTCTCCCCTCTCTGTGTTTCTTCGGAGTTAAAAAGGGGTACTTTTTGCAAAATATCTATCACCAAATCACCCTGTTTCTTAGCTGAGTGAAGAGGAGACAGGGCATTTTCATTCAGTAGAGTTTCCCGTAGGAGAGACTAAAGAGAAGCTAAAAAAATGCCAATAAACCCCGAGACCTGGAGCTAGAGAGACCTCTGAAGAGGGAAACTTTTGTTTTTCGTTGTAAATTAAAACCATATCACTGTCAATAAAATCACATGTACAATTATATCTCATTCTTTAGAATGTTTTCTCCACATCAAAGTATAAAGCCAGTTATTTGAAGCAATGTTGTCAGTGTAAAATGATTTCAAAAAGAAGAAAGTAACACAAGCTCATCCTTGTGCTTTGAATAAGGATTAAGAATTGGCTCTCTTAACCAAATCTTCTACCCCCTAAAACACTTAATTCTGTTGAAAAACTCCATTAATGAAAACAACAGAGAGCTGATCAAATACCTCAGGAGGGATATTTATGTTCCAGGAATTGTATATAAAAGTTGTTGTGCTATTGTACCTTTCTAGGTATTGAAATAGAAGATTAACAAGATGTCATTATTATTTTGTAAATTTCAAATTCATTTTACTGTATTGCTCTTTAACTTAATTTTATTCCAAGAAAGTCACTTCTGTTCATTAAAAGCAGTGGCTGTTTTTTAAATGGTAGTGTTCTGAATTTTAATTTAAAATAGAAGAACTATTAGGGTGTTTGTTTCATTATAGTCTGTTAAAACTCATCAAAAGTCAGAAGCAATGTTTCAGTAAAAAACTAAACCATATGGAGAATTAAAGCTCAAAATCTGATCAATCAGTGCTTTTTTTCTTTAGCATTAATATATTATATGAAAATGGCTTCTGTAGTGAGGAAAATCAATGTTAACAGTGTGATTTAGTCATATCTGTATTGCATCAAGAACTGAATGAGATTTTTAATCTGTTCTGCAACATTACTACAAGATGATTCACTCTTTTGCTCTTTTAAAAGTGACGGGGGCATTCAAACAGTTTAAAAATCAATCCAAAAATTCTTTTTAAAGACAATGTCAAATTCCGGGCTGGGGGCGGGAGGCTTATTTATGCATAATTTACCTTAGAGTTGCAAACAATTGAGGAAATTGCTTTTCTTTCAATTCTGCAATGGTAGTTAGGTCTTACTTGTGATTATATTGGGTGAAAACTAGGCCACAATCAGCTACTAAACAACGGTGAAGAAGCCCAATTTTAGATTGAATGTAATATAATAGTACAATAATAATAATATTTAAACATAATTAATAAAAATGCGAAACATAATTGTGACAGTGTCCCCCATAAGGCTTTTTGGGGGGGTGCTTATAAATGTAGGTATGACATAACTGGAATATGTTTTGTGCTGCCTGTGCCATGTAATATATCTCCGTAAAGGTTATGGTCTACTATATCTATTCATCCTATCTGTACACATATATAATTTTCTACTTGAGGTTAAGAATATGGGCTGTATACTTGCTTGGTTTCTAAGTAAGCTTTGTGAGGCATTTGATCAGTTTCTTTTAGGAAGGAATTTGCCAGGTTAAGTACCTGATCAAGAAACACTTGGGGAAGAATGCATCTTGGAATGCTCCAATCCACATAAGAAGTCTTCCTGGAGACATGCAGGTTACCATGTGGACAATGGCTTCGGCCTGTAAAGACTGAGTCATGCAGGAATGACTTGCCCAGGTGACTCCAGAACTCCATCTTGGAGCTGGACTTTGCATAGGAGGGAGGAGGGGGGTCTCCACCCACAAGAGAGAGTCTATTTAAACCCGTGGGAGACCCCTCCATTTTGTCTTCAGCTGGCTAAAGAAGGAGCCTCTCCATCCCCCCAGAATACTTGAAGGAAACTAGAACAAAGAACAGTACTACAGGTGTGAGTGATTGCTGGACCCAGCCTAAAAGGAGATTAGCCTGTAAAAGGGAGAATTCTGGAACTGGTGAGGAACTTATCTGTATTTAGTTTGATTAGACATAGATTTGCACATTTTATTTTATTTTGCTTGTGACTTACTTTGTTCTGCCTGTTACCACTTGGAATCACTTAAATCCTATTTTCCGCATTTAATAAAATCACTTTTTATTTAGTAATTTACTCAGAGTATGTATTAATACCTGGGGGAGCAAACAACTGTGCATATCTCTCTATCAGTGTTATAGAGGGCGAACAATTTATGAGTTTGCCCTGCATAAGCTTTATGCAGGGTAAAACGGATTTATCTGGGTTTAGACCCCATTGGGAGTTGGGCATCTGAGTGCTAAAGACAAGCACACTTCTGTGAGCTGTTTTCAGGTAAACTTGAAGCTCTGGGACAAGTGATTCAGACCCTGGGTCTGTGTTGGAGCAGACGGGAGTGTCTGGCTCAGCAAGACAGGGTGCTGGAATCCTGAGCTGGCAGGGAAAACAGAAGCAGGGGTAGTCTTGGCACATCGGGTGGCAGCTCCCAAGGGGGTTTCTGTGATCCAACCCGTCACAATAATATCTGACCAGTCTGCAACAGGTAATGAGCAAATATTTACTATTCTGAAACTCCACTGGTTATTTAGGAAATATAAGAGGTCTTTCCTCTTCCCTGCCCCCTTCCAACAGACACAGGGGTTATGCTGTGGATAGGGCTCTAAAGTATTCATTAGAAGTAATAACAGGTGTATGTCATCGAATCCCAAGTTAAAGGGAGAGAAGTTGTGACATTTCAGTGATCACCCAGACCAGTAAGGGGTTCTGTCACCACCTGACTTGTAACTTTGAATGCCTGTTGCTGTGCTGCTATGGGCTCAGCCTTGACACCAGTAGCTAGCCTACATGCATAAAGGTCTCAGCCTGGCTTCCACCAACCTAGTTACTCCTTGCAGGATGACCTCAACAGCCCTTCCCATCCTGTCTCCTCAAATCCATCTACACCGAGTTCTTAACTACGATACTCAGCCTTTTCCCCTCTGGTTCGTCACCCCAGAAGGAGTGAAACCTGCAACCACTAATCAGTGTGTTGAAGGTAAATTTATTAATCAGGGAACCTAAATTATAATCCGTTTACCCCCTTAGGTTATTTGTACTCATATTTCAATGACTAATGGTCTCCAGTGACTTGATTTAAACCTGTTTGAAATGAATTGATGAGACCCAAGCCTTTGGTCTACACAATAAAATTATGTCTTCCTAAGTTCATTTGTTTCAGTTTAGTTTTGCATGCTTTCACACCTAGATCTGTCTGTCACTGATGTAAGCACACCATTATATTGACACAATAACACTGCCTTCTTGTACAATACAGTTCCATAAATTGACGAATTACCATTAACAAGGTGGTAATGCAGACACTGTATTACCTCAATTGAGTCTAACAGTCCTCCAGCAGCTGTCCCACAATGACTCTCACCCCACCACAAGACAGTGTCCACTCCCTGTTTTTGAAATGCCTTTTCCTGGTTGCCCACCTTGGCAAGCACACCTACAAGCCCATCTTTGTGAGAATCCAATCATGCCAGCTCAGTGCAGACAGAGAGCTACTAAGCATGCTTCTGCTGGAGCAGGGTAGAAGTCATGGCTCTCCTCTGATTGTGGGGAGAAGAGGCTCTGCAAGCAAAGCTAAGAAGCAGACAAAGGAATATAGATATCTATGTGTAGATTAGAATCAGGGGGTAGCCGTGTTAGTCTGTATCCACAAAAACAACAAGGAGTCTGGTGGCACCTTAAAGACTAGCAGATTTATTTGGGCATAAGCTTTTGTGGGTAAAAAAGAAGAAGTGAGATTTTTTACCCACAACAGCTTATGCCCAAATAAATCTGTTAGTCTTTAAGGTGCTACCGGACTCCTTGTTGTTTTTATATGTAGATTGTGTATGGGATGCTAAACCTGGGGCAGAACAATGATGCTGGATGAAAGCCAAGGAACTCTGGTAGGTGTATCAGCAGGCAAGGGAGGGCAATAATAAATCTGAGGCCGCCCTGTCGACCTGCCACTTTTACAGTGAATTGCATGCGATATTTGGCAGGGGCCCAAATAGCACCCCAAATCTGACTGTGTACAATTTGTGAGATCTGGGCATGTTAACCTCTGCACTGCACAGTGAGGCTGAGTGGGGAGAAGCAGATGGGACACAAACCATATGGCGAGCTGGGAGCTCTTCAAAACTCTACTGGAGTCGAGCCAATCCCTGCAGGTGAGCACAGATTGGCCTAATGAAGAAGGAGAAAGAAGCTCAGGTAAGTGTATAGCTTCATTATTCCTTATAAGCATGTTTGTTTCCCTTTTCGGTGCCCACAACTTCCCCACCTTTCTTCCCTGTTTAAATATGGTGCCCATCCTGTCCTCATGTATAGAGAACAAAGGCAGCAACTTTTGATTCTTCACTTTATTTGCAAAACCAGCACTGGGGATACAATTAAAGTGCATGCTTTGAAATGCAGATATGATTTCTGCTTCATTCAACTACTACATGTTAGGAAATGAATTCAAAAAGATTAATGTAGCAGTCCAAATTACACAGCCACAACACATCACTGTCCTGGGTGTGAATAGAGAGAAAAGAATGAGGTAGAGGTGGCATTTGCTTTCCTTTCTATGACATGTTGGGTTAAGCAAGAAGGGCCACAATTCTCTCCACGTGGAGTACTTTAGTTGATCAGGGATGCCCTTTTATGCTGTGGAACAATCTCAATAAAACTTTCATGGAGCCTCAGGTACTCTGCAATCCTCTCCCAAACATTTCTAGGGATGCTGGCCTTCTTTCTTCCCCTGAGATAGGAAATATTCCCATGCCATCCTGTGATGAGTTCCGCTGGCACCATTGCAGTACACAGGCTAGCAGCGTGCAGGTC